GAGAGAGAGAGAGATTGTAGTGTATTTGAACATAAGATAACTATATCCGTAAAACGTTTTAAACACAAGTACCCTTCGAGGGAGAACTATTAATAAACCAACAAATTAACATTCTAGTCTGCATAGGCCCCTTGGATTGACCCACACAATATAGGTTCGCGAAAATAAGATGGCGGCACCCACGCGTCGCTATCAATGAACATTACATTTGAAAGGTTTCCGTTTCATGGTGACTGATGAAGTCTGTTTATCTGCCCGATCTTTAAAAACCCATGAAAGAAAACCACGTGTAATAATTACTGATAACTGCTTTTTAAGAGTACTTAGATAGACTTGCTAGCTCCCAGATGATTTTCTGACCAAACCGGAAGGAAAGTCTGAATCATATTTCTAATCACGCGACATTTTAGTATCAAGGAACTATTATTAGTTAAGGGTTTTGCATGGACTTGCGAAAAAATTGTATTTAAGCTCAATTTTAAAACAAAAAAAGAACAGAGACAGGAACTGTTGTTGAATGAAGAAAATGAAAACAATACACTGATTGAAAAAGAAGAGTAAAGAAAAGGGAATGATAGGAACAAAGGGAAGAAAAAGAGTTTGAAAAGTGAACTGAAATGGGAAAGAAATTTAAATGGCAAATGAAAAAACGAATTGAAATAGAGAGTTGGGATAGAATTGATGGATAAAAAGTGGAACAAAAGTAAAGAAAAAATAACGAGATAGAAATGATAAAAAGAGAAAGAGAAAAAGAATGAGATAGAAAGGGAAATTGGGGAGAAAGAGAAGAAACAAAACAATGGTTGAAAAACGAAAAAGGAAGGAAGGTCTGACAGTAAACTCATAGATAGGGGAAAAGGCTTACACCGGAGCCATAGCATAGCATTATCATACATTCAGTTCTATGAAATTTCTCGATAAGAATTCATAAAATCGATTATTCTCCTCTTTAAATATAAAACTGTCTTCTCAATTTTACTGAATTTGCGTTTTTCAGTTTTGTGGCAAGTCAAGTTGGATGCGCACGCAACCTTGAGAAAACGGTCTATTGGGAAATAGAAATGGAAGCTGAGAAAAAAACAGAGATTGAAAAACGAAAAAGGAAAGAGAGTACGACAGCAAAATCATAAAAAGAGAAATAAAGAAAGCATTACACCGGGACCTAGCGAGAATCACAGGAATTGGGAGGCACCCAGAATAAAAAGGTGAAAAAAGTAGTAAATATACAAAAAACTGAAACAAAATTAAACGAGAAGAGACAAACAGTCGTTCGATGTAATTTCTAATATTTTACTGTTTCTTTCAAATTTCGACCATTAATTACCAAAATAATATTGGGGGGGGGGGGTTCCGTGTTCGCGCCGTGTTTATGCCGTGTTCCGGGTATTTGATTGGATGGACAGTAAATTTTCCTGCAATGGGATTAGGCTGGCGTATCACTTGATGCCGCTTCACTACCGTGTTCGTACCGTGAGCTTTTCACAGTCATACGAAAACTGCTCATGAACTAAACATGCCTTAATCAGAGGTCAGTCACTCAGATAGCAGACATCTGATTAGGATCGGTAGATACTTGTGATTTCATGTCTGGACTACCTGTTGAATAGATTCGAAACTTCCGGTCAGCTTATAGTTATTTGACCTAAATGAAAACCACAGGAACTCCAACCGCTGTTCATTCTGGCCTTGAACAAAGACACAAATAGCCCAATCAACCATGACAATTCGAATATAAATTTTAGCCGTCATTGAAAGTGATTAGGGAGGCAAAGTAGACTGGTTGACGGACTTAGTCATAACATTACGTCAATAGATGAATCAACACATTCTAAAAGGAAAATTTGAAAATTTGACGTGAAAAGACATGGAAATTGAACAGCGGTCAATATTCGTTAGGTAAAGGTTCTTATAAGTGATTCAGTCTTTGTCTACTGGTTCAAATATGTTTAAATATATATAAACGCTGAGATTATGGTAGTCTTATGGTTATGTAAGTTCGATACCAAACGACCCCCTAGTGAGGCCAATATTAGTTCCAAATACTTTAAGGTATACAGTTCAGCTAGTTTATTGTCATCTCCGTCAAACAGAATGTTTGATTGATTGAAAAAAATTAGAAAGAAATTACAGTTGAGTAAACGAAGAAAACCATAGAGAATAGGAATAACATTAATTTTGATAGCCGTATTTTCGAAGCAATATTTTCGATAAATATCAATTTATCAGTTAGGATTATGTCTAGGCATGTCTGCTTCGTCACCGGAACTTAGTTCACTTTTACGAATTAAAATGATAATAATCATATCACACGACTATATACGCCGGAAATGAGGTAATTACTACTAATATCACGTGTCCTTCATCATGCATTTCTTAGCAAGAATCGTACAATACAATAACCTTGAAGCGAGATGACGTTTTACCCCCGACTCTATGCCATAATAGTTTTTAAAATTCTTTCATATTAAAATTTTTGATTCCTTAGAGAACACAAGAACAATAGTCATAATTAAAGAACAAAAACAGTGTGAAAAGGATTATGGTCTAGAGACGGATGTAAAACGTCATCTCCCTTCAGGCTTATATAGGGTGATTTTCATAAACCCGTGAAACAAAATTTAGCTATTAACTTCTATTAACGCATATTAATATGTAATAGAGGCTATTAGTGAGACAACTAAGTATTGCAGTGAAAGTTTATTGCCTGTATTTTACTATACTTCGTTTTTTAAAGTCTAATGAGTAATAACTTGTACTAGTTTGTATTAATGATTCTTACGCTAACACTTATTTCACGGGTTGAATAAAATCACTCTATACGTATGAAATTTGAAAGCTTTTAGAATACCCTTATTTCATAAGTCTTATTTTATTTCAATTTTTAAGGTCCTTTAAGACCGCAAATGAAGTCATTACGGATAATTTAATTTTTCGAAGGGAAAAAAAGATTTGTTTTAATTGATTGTAAATTTAAGTCTTAGACTATTTTTGAGTTATATCATAGTTAACTATGGTTATAGGTATAGTTTTACGGAATGTTTTAAGGCCCTTTAAGACCGGAACCGGAACTTATGTAATATAATTGCATGTTAATGGCGGGATCACGTGATAGGGTGCTCGCGGGCTCGTTGCATGTCTCGTACACCGCGCCCCTTCTTAGTCCTCTTTCTTGTAGCTCACGGAAGAGAAGTAATTTGAATCTCTGTGGATTTTTCTCGGCTTTTTACTCCCAATTCCAGGTAAGCTCACCCCTACTTATCTAGTACTATTGTTGGTTAACAGATTCAGGGTTCGAAAGTAAGAGATTCAGCGCTTTTAGCTTGAATATTTTAAGTCAAATCGATTCGAAGTTGAGCTTGGCTTGTTTCCGTTCTAGCCACACCGCTTTCGCAATTGCTAATCCAAACTTTCTAAGCATTTTACGCCTTTTATTTCTAAATTTCACGCTTTATATTCTCATCAATAGGCTAAATATATCTCATAGGAAGTTCAGAGGTAGGAAAATTGGAGTTTTTGAGGATTTTTAGTGCGTCATTTGCAGAAAAATGATTCTTGTCGTGGCGAGTCGCGAAGGAACCATTCGGGGAAGACGGCGTGTCGTTGTGCTGTATATTCTAACCTTTTTGAAGAATCGTTATCATTCTATTGATGATTCTGTTCAATTTCTTGCTAAGACCACCAAGATCGTATGAATTTTGAAAGCACTATCCTCGGTAGATGTTGCTGTGAATTTAAGAGAGAAATATTGGAACATTCTAACGTGGCGTACCATTAATCGAACTAGGATTCCTGCAACATGGAAAATTCTCTTCTATTTAAAGAATACTTTTTTGCATTTTTATCCTCAATCATCGCTTCGAATCCCTCATCACGAGATCTAGACCTCGAAATCTTGAGTGTTAGGAGCTTGAAATTTTGTTTTAAGGATCTGGTATTCGTTTATTCGACTTGTTGAATGCTGGGTGAACGATTGCGTTAGAGTCAGTAAAGGAATGCATGTGAAACAAATTCTTTATTGACACAACTAGAATCACAATTTAGCCTTTGAAGACACCCAAAAATCGTCTTTTTAATGCTTCAATCTTCAACCTCTCGGGATCATAGCCTTGAGCTCCCGATCGCTGGCTGGGTATCCACATATCTGAGTTTATTATCAAGTATTTGAAATTCAAACATGATCAAAAGTCGTGGCGTGAAATATTTGTATATGAATTAATGTGGGATCTTGATTTTACAACGTATTTTATAGAGGTCCACATCAATTTTAAGCAATATCCATATCTTTTAAATTTTAACGAAGGTTAAATATTCTATATTCTTGTTACCCGGACAGTGAACTTATTTTTGTACAATAGTCGACTTGTACAAAGACATTTTAATAATTTATGGCAGTGTGACGTTAAAAGCTTTTTAAAACCAAGCATATTCTTGTAAAATTTTCTACGTGAGTGACTTTAAGGTCAAATTTTCAACATCTAGGAAAACGTTTTATTTTATTTATTTATTTTTTTCAAGGAGTCTGCTTTCCCAGTTCTTATCATTAGTAGTTTTGATTAGGATTAGGGTTTTCAGCTGTTTGTTAAATCTTGCTATGTTGGACGTCTTTCTCGCTTAATATGTAGTACAGAAATATACATATTATCTCATTTATATGAACTCTACTTTCTTTAAAGAGAAAAGTATATTTTAGATCTTCAAACTAAAAGGATAGACGATAAATATATGTTACTTTAAAAAATTGTACTCTTTGAACAAGCTTGTGAGATATATTATTACAAACAATTAATGAAATATGGATTTTGAGCCTCTGATTAAATATTTAGATGTGAAAATTTCGTTCAGTTATTATTTTTAAAAGTTTTTTACTAGAAGTAAGATGAAAAAAAGAAAACCAGTGATATGAAATGGAAATCATAGCAGACCTAATTTATATGATGTTTAACTAGGCTTTGATGACGGTAAAGTTCTATTACAGTGCCTGTAATGCCTAACAATATTTTCAGTATTGATTCTACCCAAAGTGAATAGTTGAATGGTGAAATATTTTTATATGATTTAAGTGATGCATCTTGGAAGTATCAAGGTTTATACTTCCAATATGCTTATGAGTGCAATGACATTATAGGCATTATTAGATATACAAAATTTTTCTGGGCCAGTAAAATATCCTGTATAAAATATCAGTTGCCTTACTCAGGGTTTATAGAAAGGTTATTGTAAATTTGTTATCTCATAATACTCATTGTTTCAATTGACAAATGATGACAAATAAACTCAGATTCCTATATATGATGTCACACTCATTAACATATTGGAAGTATAAACCTTGATATCTCCAAGATGCATCACTCAAATATGAAAATATTTCACCATTCAACTATTCACTTCATGTAGAATCAATACTGAAAATATTGAGTTATGGGTGAGGGGCACTTTAACAAAACAAGTGCATTCGAAAGTAAGACCAAGAACACTTGAACCATGAACAATTCGAGTTTATTATATAATTTTCTGAACTTGCTATGGATTAAAACCCTCTAAAGTGAGGCATCGAGTCCAATGTACTCCAAGTGTTCAAGATGAATCTTTCTTTTATCATTTGACTTGAGGGATGATTTCCGGTATGCATTGTAAAAAGTGACAAAAAAATGGAAGTGTTCAAGACATTGATCTTTGTGTATATTGCTTTTCTATAAATTCAAGTCCTTCATTCGTAATATTAAATTCATAATATTTAAGTATTTAACAAAATTAGACTTTCTTTCCAATCTTGAAATACTGCCATATTCCTTGACTTCGATTTTCCAAATCGAAATTTAATGCTGATTCCAAATCTGGAAAGAAAAATAGGGTGTCCTGAGCTCATTTTCAAGATAATTAGCATTTAATTGAAGCCTACGCACAAGCTTTTGGAGTAAAAATTGCACCACCGGAAGTGATTAGAAAAAAATTAAGATTCATAAGATAATAGTTATTTGCAGACTATATGATTGCACGAATGAAGGCAAGTCAATCATTCTACAATAATACATGGATTTTTTAGACAAAAAGACAGAGATACATTGATTTGTCATATTTTGTAGTTTCGGTGCTCTTAAAAAATCTCACAAAGTCGAACGAAAATCCCTACTAAAGTCTATTTTTTCACGTGTTACTGATTTAAACTTTTCCTAAAATGTTGATATAACCTAGATTTTTAGGAGTTTTTTCGAATGAGCTATTAATATATAGAGAGTCCCTTGCAAAATTTGAGGGTTTTGCCCTGTTGAAGCTCAAAACGCGTATGGTTCTTCAATAAAATMTTGTAGATTTTTCAGCAGTTTTTGAGCACGCGCACATCGTGGGCTCAAATCGAACGTTCAAAAGTAGGTAGCCACCTTAAATGTACAATAAATGTGATAACTAGGATATGTTAAAAAATAATTTAATCGTTAGGTGTGTGTGGCTGTCGAAATAGTTAAAACTTTCGTGTTGAAAGTCACGTGGTTCATGGTTTAGTTAGATGCATGTGTCATTGAAGGCTTATTATCAGCTGTCTTGGTTGTTATAGCAACACTTTAAATTTCTATCAAAAGCTTTTTGTTAGCAAAAATTACTCAACTTTTAGCACCCAAAGTAACTCTCAATTGAGTTTTGAATTTTGATTAACTCTTGTGGTCATTTGGAGAGCTTATTTATAGGGCTTTCAGACTGTTTTGGAGTAAGTGGTCATAAGTCTGAAGTAGTTGGCTGGGAACCCAGGGGCAGATCCAAGGTTTTTTCTAGGAGGGGGTGCAACATCCAGGATTTTCATTTCAGGAGGGGGTGCACCCTTTGTTTGCAAACTCAAACAAAAAATAATGCAGTAGATATCAGCTCATCTGGAGAGGGGGGTGCACTCTCCCTGCACCCCTCCCTACATCCGCTCCTGTATCAGATACTCTTGTATCAGATACAAGGAACGAACAGAAGGTAATTTATAAAAATGCAGTAGCTAGCGGTGAACTTCAAAAGCAATTACAAGGCTCTGATGGCCATTTATTCTTAAAGCCCCAAGTAATGTCACGTGGTCATGTGGTATCCCAATCATAGCATTTAACTTTATGAAAGATTGTAGCATTTCAAACATTAAGAAATAAATTTCAATTAGTAGATACAGTGATGTGGATTTGCCTCTGGGGTCAACATTGCAGCATGTTAGTAAAGTTTTTGTTACATCTCTGCTTTGACTCTAGGGATTTTTAGGTCTCTGATTTTCTTTCGTGGTTGTTTCAGTGTTCAATCTGTGAGTTAGATCTTCTCCGACCTAAATCAGCCCAGGGGATTGTTTCAGGGTTTGATCTGTCATTTAGCCGTGCCCTGATTTAGACCAGCCCAGAGGTTGTTTCAGGGTTCAATCTGATTTAGCCGTGCCCTGACATAGATCAGCCCAGAGGTTGTTTCAGGGTTCGATCTGTCAGTTAGCCATGCCCTGACTTAGAACAGCCCAGAGGTTGTTTCAGGGTTCAATCTGAGCTAGCCGTGCCCTGACTTAATTAGATCAGCCCAGAGGTTGTTTCAGGGTTCAATATGTGGGTTAGTCATGTCCTGACTTACTATAGATCAGCTGAAAGAATGTTTCAAGGTTTGATCTGTAAATAATTAGCTTTGCCCCTAACTTAGATCAGACCAGAGGTTGTTTATTTTTCATTTCAATGATTGACAATCTTTTTTTCTCCAACTAGAATACATCTGTCATAATGAGCTGGGACTCGTACATTGATAATTTAATTGCTCAAACTAAAGATGCTAGTGGAACTGCTCACTGTGACAAAGCCTGTATCATTGGTTTAGACGGTGGGGCACCCTGGACTTCAGCTGGTCATGCGAATGCATTTAAGGTGCGTAATGATATTTGTGAGGTCGTCATGAAAGAACATGAAGGATTTGCCATGCAATACTACATGTTAGGTGTTTTAATCTTAGTACTTTGTTACTTTAATTTTTGTATTCTGTACTATATTTTCTGTCTGTAAGTTTACTTTATACAGAGACCCATTCAAACCAGCTTTGCTGAACTGGGCACTTCTGTATAAATATTGTCGATAAATAAAGGGTTGTTTTTGAAGTGCAACGCACAATGTTTGGTGTCCTGTCACTGACTAGCATTTGAACAATTATCAATAGATAAACTGGTACAAAAAAAAAAGCAATATTCCGAGGGAGATTTTGGACTGAATTAAAGATTTGAGAGGATTAAAGAATTGAAATCTTTAAATAGTTAATAGTTTGGAGAAAATTCATTGAGCGCATTCTTAATGCTATTTGTATTGCTCCTTTTTGATATGCAACTACTTGCGCTCGATAGATTTTCTTCAAACTCGGCAGACAGAATTTTCATGAAAACCGAACGATTTTTAAGTGAGCAGGAGGACATAACCACTGTTAGAATATTGGACCTTAATGGCAAATGTATCTCAAAAATAACATTTCAAATTCAATAGCCTAAATGTTTGAGCTGCTGCATGTGCTAAATTAAAAAAAAAATTTGATTGTTTTGATGCGATACGAGTGAGTTACAAGAAACCACTGAAATTCACTTTTGGCTGTGACGTCATCGGAGCATTTGGGTGGATTAGTTTGAACCTGTAGTGCTAAAAACAGGACATTATGAGACACCAAATTTACAATAAACGTTTTGTCAACCATGAGTATGATTTTCATATTTAAATACTTTTTGCTTTTTTTGCTTAGAATTTGTATTTTTAATCCATACCCAGATGACGTAACAGCCAAAAATATAAACCTTGATATCTTCAAGATGCTTCACTCAAAGATCATATGAAAATGTTTTATCATTCAGCTATTCACTTCATGTAGAATCAATACTACAAGTATTGTCTCAGGTATCAGGGGCACTTTAGACATATGAGTGCAGGCCCGTCGCTGGGACCTCGAAGGGGAGGTGGTTTTTATACCACGACATGACGTTGTTAACCTTTAAAATAACCTCTTACGCATTAAAAATCAAGATTCTTTACGGAAATATATCCTTAAATATATAATCTAGTTATGCAATTTCTTGAAAAACTAAAATAGCAACAAATATTTTTATTTTGGTACTCCCTCAAAGGTAGAGAGGGGGGTTTGTAAAAATTATCAAACCACTCTGAGCGATGGGCCTGCAAAGGATAGAAGACTAGACTGTACATGTCATCTACCTAAACTTGGCTATTAACTTTTCTCATGTTATATTATAGTTGCAAGCAGCAGAAGGAGCAAATATTGCTAGATGTTTCAAGAGCAAGGATTTCTCTGTATTCATGGCTAGTGGAATACACTGTGAAGGTGTGAAGTTCAACTTTTTAAGAGAAGAAGATGGAAAACTTGTTTTTGGAAAGAAGAAAGAGCATGGAGCCGTTACTTTGCAAGCCAGTAAAACCGCTATAGTTGTTGGGCACTGTCCTGAAGGGTCTCAACAGGGCAACCTCAATAAAGGCGTAGGAGTAATAGCCGAATATCTTGAATCATTGGGCATGTGATATGTAGAGAAAAATGTTTTTCCTATTGTATTGTTTTGTACTGTCTTGTTTAAATCTCTGTTGTCCTTTGAGACTTGCAATAAAAGCTAARTAATTGTCTTGATCGACTAGAAAATACTAGCTATCTAATCCTTTTTTTGCAAGCCCACTCTTAGGAACTTCTTGTAGAACCAAATCTATTAGACATTATTAGGAAGCAATACATTGAAAAAATAACTCTTATTTTCATAAACCTTTTTTGGGATAATTGTAAATTAGACTTTATGAATTTAACTTTTTTTAATGTCAGGAACCCATCCCTGACTTGAATAAAACAGCTTTTTGGACCTCACCATATATCAATAATTATTATCCTTGCCTTTTGTGTTAAGTTTATTGATCAAGTTTGAATAGTAAAAACCTAGAATAAAATGCACATAAAATGCACATAAACTGCTGAGGTACGATCAGGTACTGATTTGTTTGAGTTTCTCAGCTGAGCCAGCATCCTATTTTAATTGTTTTTGTTGTCGTAGATTTATATGATAGATATTAAAAAATTGAATGAGATTTTTGCTGTTTTATGCCCTTGTCATTTTCATTTCTCCATTTTGGAAAAGAATCTAATGGAAAGAGAAATCAAGGATGCACAAGAAATTAAAAATCAGCCACACCCTAAATCCATTGTTTGATGTAGGTTCTCAAATTCGGCAGAAAACCCAGATTCTTAAAGCTGGGGGTGGAATTGATATCAACAGGGGAGAGCGGGGCTGAATTATAAACCCAGGATAGGCGCAGCCGAGGACTGGAATTAATTGCAAGGACTTGAAATCCCGTCCAGTCCAATTTGGAGGCTTTGAAATGACTTCTCATACTCATTAATTATTTGGGAGGTTATTTGTTTAGGATTGAAAGACTTAAGGAACAGATATGTCCCTGAACTGAATTAATTTTGATCCAGTCCAAGGACTTGAACAAAATTAATTCAGTACTTTCACGGGACTTTACCAGGTTTCAAGTAACATCATGTAACCCAAAAAATAGCCCGTTGATTGGCTGGTTTATTCATGAATTATTAATGAGTATGAGAATTCTAATGCAAAGCCTCGCCCGTGCGTTCGAACCTTTATAGAAAAATGTCAATAATGTTGGTTTATTATGTGACCGTGAATCTTAGAGCCTGGACACTAGCAAATCGAGCAATCTGATTGGATAGATCGCATCGCGAACTGGTCTAGATATAAAGGTTCAAAACATAGGGCGAGGGCTTTCATTGAAATTCAAGACCGAGGGCGCAGCCCGAGGTCTTGAATTTCAATGAAAGTCCGAGCCCGTAGTTTTGAACTGGTTTAATAACCAGCCACGCCCCAATTCTATTGTTTTAATGGGACAGGTCTTGAATTTCAAATTCAAAACCTGGCCCGGGTTTTGAATTCAGCCCCGCTCTCCCCTGCTTTAAGAATGTAGGTCTTACTCTGGGTTTCAAAACCTACATAAAACAATAGAATTGGGGCGTGGCTAGTTATTAATCTCCGGTATTAACCGGTCCGATCGCATATTAATCTTACGGCGAAAACATTTTGTCCTTTTTAATGAAAAGTGGTCATATAATAAAACTCTTATCAACCGAGCGGGAGGTCTGTACGGGATAATCTTGACCTCGGTCTGTACATTCCGACCTCGGTCAAGATTATCTCGTACAGACCTCCCGCTCGGTTAATAAGATCTAATTATTAATTCTACTTTAGACAATGTCAATATGACCCACAATGCACTTTGGTCTTGGAATGCACTATTCAGTATGCAGTATTCAACCTTCTTTGAAATAGATGTTTTGTACCATCACGTGTCCACGCCCATAATACAGCTTGGACTGCCTGTGGTTAGATGGCAGAACAATAAAATTCCTGTGCTCTCGGGGATTGAATTATTTCTTATGTAAAACGATTGTATTGTTCCTGCCATCCAACATGGCTGCCGTCACATGATGGTGCAAAACCTCTATAGCTGTAGACACATAATGTTTACCACTATTGTGATTTTTTCCGCTTTCTGTTTGGTCTAGAGGACGTACCGATAAATTACGCTAGTAAATCACGCGCGCTCTTCAAATATCGTTTTTCTTTCAAATTTTACCCGTGTTTTTGTAATAAAAGTTTTAATTTGTTGTGGTAAAAATACAAGCTCCTCCTTTTTTTCGTGGCATGTTCTCTTAATTACCACTTTTTTCGTCATCTAGCCATCAAAATATGTTGTGGACTTCCTCGGCTACGCGTCCTGAGCCAATAACATTTGGACGACTAGATTAATGATGGTAATTGAACTGAGTGGAGTGCAATTTGGACCAAAATCATACAAGTGATTACAAAATTGCACGACCGCGTAGCACGGAAAATACAATCTATCAAAAAGTGTGAAATGTCCCAATTCACAGAGAAAAACACTTTGCAAACGCGTTGAAAAGGCTTGTTTGATTGGCTGAATATAAGAATTCTGTTCTGTGATTGGTTCTTTCAAAAAGATGCGATTAAGAGCTCAAAAGGATGCGATTAAGAGCTCCTAAGGATGCGATTTGGGAATTAATCGCACTCCTTTGAACCAATCAGATTGCAGGATTTGATAGTGATTATAAAAAGGATATGATTCAGAAATTAATTCGTGGCAAGAAAATATTAAGTATTAGCATAAACCTGATTGGCTAACGTACTCACTACTTGGAGTTATGTTAAGCTTATATGTTCAGATAGTCGAGTTCGCAAAGATGAATGAAAACCGGTGCCGCCGTTTGACCGTCGGTTTTTAATGTCATTCTTTGATTTCAATGCCATAGTAGGCTTATGCTAAAACAATTAGGCTACTCGTTCTCGTTTTCTGAGTCAAATAGTCGATTCGGCGCTACGCGCCTCATCGACTATCTTTTGACTCACAGAAAACTCGACCTCGTAGTCTAATTGTTAAAGAAAGCACATCTCCCATACATGGGTCTCTAACCTTTTTTAAGTTTTTTGAAAATATATTTTTAGCTCCTCGCGCACGCATGAGCTATTTTTAGCATGCGATTCCGGAGGTCGGAGTTTAGTTACTTCAATGCGAGCGAAAAATGTTTAGTTCCGACGAGAAAAATGTTTTCAAGATTCAAGATCAGAAAAAAGTTGAAATTAAACATGTATTCTTCATAGACGAATTAAACATTAAACTTAACAACTGATGTAAAAGAACATCGAAAAAGATCAAATCAGGATGGTTTTCAGAATACGAACAAGCTAAAAACAACGAAGACGCCAGGGAAGGAAACCCGCGCGATAAAAACAGCGATGAAAATAGCGAAGAACCTACATTGAAAGACAGCGAAAAAAGCATTTATCGTAGCGTTTTCGATAATAAATAAAGTTTAAGTTCACGTAATTAAGAAGATGATGAACAAGACGAGTATTTTGTTTCACACACGAATCAGAACAAACTTTAATTTGCACCGAAATGTGCCGAAGAAAATTTTCTGTTTTCACAGAGGAAAAAACTACAAGAGGCACTGGAATGATTTTTCACAATTATTTAAAATATGTTTAGCTTGCCAAAATATGGTATGTGATTTATGTAAAAGACATTGTCCCCAGTTGAGAAAAGGTGAATTAATTAAAAGTTTGACTATTAAAACTAGAACTTTCTTTCATATTTTGCACCTTGAATTTTCGCTGCGCCTCAATAATGTTCAGGTATTTTTTCATAACTTTTCATAAGTCCCCAACAGACAATAGAAATACAATCACAATATCGGCCAAGTACAAAAAGCGAATCAAATTTAGTATTTGAGGATTCAAATGAATAAAAAAGATATCATTTTTACCTGCTTGAAGGACGTTTTACTTGCGATTTTTTCCGCCAGATGCTCTCAGTTCGGCGTATTTGTGCCTTTATGTTTAATTCTTCTTTATTTTATACATACTGAGATTTTCTTATCAAATTTCCCTGTGTGAAAAACAAGTTCGCAACTTTTTTTAGCCAATCAGAGAAGCGAAACGATTTGTCACGCGTGAAAAAAGCGTTTCGTCCAATCGCAAACCACTGTCAAGGCGAATCGTGTTTTCGCGGTCGTCGCGAGTAGCTTTGTCGAGCAGCTTTCAAATATTTTCAGTGTATTCTAGTTGTTTGTAGTTCAAATTAAACTTATCTAATCAAGAGCTAGGAGATATTTGTGAGGATGGCTGAACAACCAAGAAGATTTGTGTCTCTAGACAAACCTATCATACAAGTTTATCGAAGACCAAAAAAACAAAAAACAAAACAGAAACACTCTTTCAAAACACGAAGATATGTAAGTTTGCTGACTGAGTTTCTCAACTCCAAAGAGTCGAGAAAATCCCGCCAGAAGAGCTTAATGGATATATCAGTGAATTGCAGTACTATCTCAAACGAACAACAGAAAAACATGTCTTTGATTCTGAGTGGAAATATAACAAGTACGTCTATAGAAAAAAGGCCAGTGTCGAGTTTACAAATTGCATTGGGCACCGAGTGTCGCCGGTTAATCTTCATTCATGAAAAGTTCTAGTTTCCCTGCAGCAGGTCCATTCAGTGGAGCAGTTTTTCAATGAGGACAGTTTRACATAACAATAAAAACTTTAAACAAGTCGCCGACTTTCACCGATAACTCATTCAAATCAACAGAGTCAACATGTAGCTTCAAACGCATCAAGCGTGTGTTTGAGTCGTCGAGACGAAGACAGCTCTCCGCTTTGACAAACTAAGTTTATAAGACTTCATTGACCTACTGAGTTTGGTTGCTTATTTCGTTATTTTCAAAAGAACAGTTTCATATTTAGTTTAGAATTTAAACGTTTTGCTATTTACTTTGTACCAGATATGTTTTTTGATTTTAATAGTGATATTTTTACATGTAACAAGCTTTTAGCTTTTCGGAGGAGAATTTCAAAATACAGCAGTTTTGTATATTTTAGAGAACCCATTAAAGGTGAATAAATAAAAACAACAAAATCTCAGTATGTATAAAATAAATAAATTACGGCATGGAAAGCGCTTTGTACGGGATTTTCCCACTCGTTAATAAAGTATCTGAAATCTCACTCGTTCGCTGCGCTCACTCGTTCGATTTCAGATACTTCACCAACTCGTGCGAAAATCCCGTACGCGCGCGCTTTCCATGAAGTAATCTCTATATTCCGAGCAGCTTGACTGTTTTCAGCTATCTTGATACCTCTTCCTTATTACCGGTAAACAACTGATTCCAACAGTAATGCTAATTTTCTTCTCAAGCCTAAAGTTTTTGAACTTTTGACTCAGTGAATTCAACAAGTTTGTTCATCGAGCTCAATCTACCTTCACTTTAGATGTCCATAAGATAACTTGCCATTTTGAAAACATTGATTCAAGTCATATCAGAAGTAAGTGCTCTTGGGATACAGCAATATATTTACTGTATTTCAGTTTAGGTGGAGAATTTCTCATCTATAACTGCAATCAACTTCAAAAAATGAGTCTCAATCGAGCGATCATTGTTTTGATTTAAAAACAAGCTTGAATGATGTTGTCTCAGCTGAGTATTTTTTACATGCGC